GGCAGTGCCCTCGGCGTCGGCGGCGGAAGAAGAACCCTTCTCCCCTTTTGTTGAAGTTGATGCCCTGGTTCGTGGTGCTATTTTGCTAAACACAGGATGAGCGAAGAAAGTTTGGTTTTTTTCCTTTAAGAAAAATATATAGCGAGTAATCTCCTAACAGAGGCGATGAACGCTATACAAATGCTAAATATCAACAGACAAGATTTGCCTGCAGAAGCGAGCAACTCATAGCGTCGTACGATTGGGCAGTTCGAATCGAACGGCCACTAATGCGATGGGACGTTTAGAGTCCCCACGCATCGGTTAAGATACAATTAATTGAGCGTGGGGGACAAGAAGCCCCCATTACACCGCATTCATTGCGAGAAGACATGCCCACGTCATCCTAGCTGGCGAGCACATGGGTCCACAAGCTGGCACATAGCCTACCTAGGCTAAGGGCTGGTCCTCGCCTGTAACCTAACCTCGCTTGACGAAGTGAGACCGCCTGATGGTTTGGGCTCGCTAGACTTGGACGCGCCTGATTCAAGCTCACCAGACAAGTTTGAGCCTGCTTACGGCTCGAGTTTTCTAGATGATTCAGACTCGCACCATCCGAGTACGTCAACAATTGGAACTCCACTATTTCAGCTTCACCCAGGCGAAGTAGGTCACCGCCTGGACCCGTCTCAAACTCGCCTGAATCTCGATGTCGCTCAAATCAAGCCAGGCTATGATCGGGGCTCACCCGTCTAGGTTCGCCTGTTCCAATGGCAGAGGCTCACTCGTCTCGACCCCACATGTGACCTAGACTTGCTGGGGAAACCTAGGGATTGATCCACATAAAAAAAAGGAGAGACGAGAGGGGCGCACGCACAAAATAGAGCAATGTTCAAACAGAAAACATATCTACATTCATAATGAGATATTCGAATACAACGCTAAATTCGAACGAAATTACAAATCTCTCAGTTAGGACTCCGCCTCTCGGACATCCTGAGCATGCTTCCTCTTAACCTTGATTCGGGCTTCTTGTCGAATGCCCTCCTCAGAGAGTGAGAGTAAGTCCTGAACCTCGGTCCTCACCACCTTGAGAGCCCTATCCTTCTCCTCAAACAGGTCGGTAACTAGCTCTCATTGGGACTGGAGCTCTATCAACTGTTCCCTCAACCGCTCGTGCTCCTGCTCCTTAGTAGCTAATAGAGCCTACGCTTCAGCGATGGTTTGTTGAACCGTAGCTATCTCGGTCGACAGAGTAGATATGCTGGAGCTAGCCTTATGATACTCTGTGCCCAGAAACTCGTCCTTGGCCACGACACGTTCGTTCTCCTCCTTCAACTGCGCATCCAACGATGACTTCTCCCTCAATCGACGCTCTCACTCATTCACGGCTGCTTGAGCCTCACCAATCGCAAGAATGGTGATATTGGAACCTTTCGCACGGAGGGCGAGCAGTCTCTTAATTGCAGACTCGACCCACTCCATGCGCCTAAAATACAGAGCAGAACCGGACATGCCAAGCTCCTTGATTAGGAAACCCATCTGATACTCGATGGTCGATTTGCACTCCTTGAAAGGGCAGCTGTCCTCCAAGGCAAACCGTATACTATCTCCGAGCGCCTCTTGGAAATTAGTAATACCCCGTTCCGTGGCTCTCTTACGGAAGTGGGCCGTTGGAGAGAGAGTAGACTCACTAGGGGCCGATGCCGATGACAACACTACAGACGGGGCGTGAGCAGCCAGGACTGCGGGAGTGATGGTAGGTACGTCTAAGGCTAAGGACGCAGCCAACACTACCGAGGCCTTGACCGTAGGATTGGTAACAACCTTAACAGTCGCCGAAGTAGGAGATGACGAAGAGAGGACCAGTTGAGCAGACGTCTCCTCTTGGTTTCGGGCCTCTCCCTGTTGGGCCGACACCTTTTCACGAGACGACTCCCCCTCTTCTTGGCCTGACAACTCTTCGTAGGGCCAAGTGTCCTCTCCTTTACCCTCTTCATCCTCTTCTTCCCCTGCCTCCTCGATTGTCCAGTCGGGAGCCCTGGGTGGAAAGTCCTCCTTACTAGAAACATGGAAAGCCGGGTCAGCTGTAAATACGAAAAAGTTTGTCAGTAGAAACATTCGTCAGAATCACAACCAGAGGATCAGCACCGGGAGAATGGCAAGAGAGGCGAGAGCACGCTCACTTGAGTCATCATGCTCTCCTTCGCCACCTACACCTTCTATTTCCTTACCAGACGGGGTGGGAGTGATATCCTCTGCTACACCTACGTTAAGCCAAAACAAATGTTAGGCGATGAGTTTCAAACTCAAACTCGACGAGGGGGTAGGAGGTAGCCACCTTCAGATATAGCTAAGGGAGCGGGTACAACCAACATGCCCTGCTCTTCTACGAGAGTCGATGAGCCTAGGAGCGACCCCGAAACAGCGACGGAAATGGTCGTAGTGGGCCTCCCCCAGAGTCAAGTCGAAGGAAACCATAACGACAACTTCTGCCGCCTCCGTAATCTCTGCCGGCTCCTCGTGACGAGCTTTCTTAGTCGCTTCGCAACCGGAGCTGCTAGCCCATGTTTCCAGCTGTCACTTGGAAAAAGGCGAGCACCCGGGAGCAAAGCCAGACATCCTCGCGGGCCTGGCTGCTGCCTCTCAAATTTGCTCTAACTGCACCCCCACACTAGCTATTGCCGCAACTACCTCATCGCTTGCGGGTTCTGTTAGAGCAAAAGAAGGTGGTGGTTGTGTGTCAAATGACCCGTATTCACTCAGGCTCGCGTAGAGATCTTCGGTGTCTTCATCAGAAAGGTCTTAACAGATCCTTGACGGCCCGGCGGCCCCTTTGCCTCGAAGTGCGGGATGCCGCTCTCGGATGTTGCTCTGGCATAACCAAGCAAGAGTTGTGAGAACTAAAACCTTCTGGGTTCGCGCTGGCACCTCGACCGACAATAGGTGAGTGTGTGATGGAAATCACGATCTCTAACGGGTAGCTCGAAATGCGCATTGGTGCCACCCGCGTAAGTCCAGAACCACCCCCGCACACCATCCACTAA